TTTTGCCTCTTGGTGTTTTCAATGTGGGGAGTCGTCTCTTTGGCAGCTTGAATAAGGTGTTACTCACTACTATTAATTTGTCTTTATACAAAAGATTGTAATAGTTTTTCCTCTCTGGTTTCTCTCACCCAATCTCAACTTTTTAATGTACTGCCCATAACATCCTTCGTCGGTTTTGCTATTATAGTCGCCCACCACTGCTATGATTTCAAGTTTTTTTTTTAATTTTAAAGCATCATGTATTTGTTTAGAAAACGCTTTCATTTCATCTTTTGGTTTGTCCACGGTGGGGGCGTATATCTTTATTATAAGTTAAGTTTGCCAATGATTGACATAATTTGAAGCATGATTATTATATCGGAGTAAGGTACAAATCACGAAAAAGTCGTTTATTTCTTTAATAAAAAGAATTTTTGCTCTGTAAAAGAGGTTTTTACTAGTGTTTTCAGTATAAAGTTCCATTTTCTATTTGACATTTTCATTTGTCTATCTATCGTGTTTCACTTAATTCTAATACTTGAATATTTAGTCTATTAATCTTGGATATATTGTTGTCTAGATTTCCTGAGTGAATGTTAAATGTTAAGACGTTTTTCTTGACAAACTGATTATTCGCACCATCTCTCGGTCTAAGAGGTATCCCGAACTAACGGTCTTATATTTAGATTTCTTAGCCCCTTGATTATTTTGGAAATACAGATAGTGCGGTAGTTCTCCATTGCTTTCTGCACCACAGTACCAGCAGCCATTCAAATCGTCCTAGACATGCCTGCAGAATTAAAATAACAAGTTGGTTCAAAATAATTTCTTTTGCGTCTTGTCTCACTACTGAAATCGCTGCTGCCCTTTTTCACAATTTTTAGACTTAAAAGGGATAAATATGGAAAAGTGGGATATACAAAATTATAGGACATGAGTTCCACAATATGATATGGTGAAATCTCATTGAGGTGGCGTGGAAGCAGCGTCACTAGTCCCTAAAATACTGCCATTTTCACCAGGATGGATCGAGGAAAATACCTACCGGCTACCCTGTTACTAATTAATATTTATTGGTCTATATAGATTAAGTCTGGGAAGTGACCACAGATTAATAAGAGCAAAAATAGCAATCAATACAAAATTAAAAAGAACCAAACTAATTTTTTAAAAGAACTCTAACTACTAAAGAACTTAAAAAATTTTGAATCTGACCTAACACCAATAGATCAATTTACAGAGAAAGACATAAATAAGTTGAAAAAAACATTAAAATCGATTAAAATTACTGTGACTAAAAAAACATATGAAGCCAAAACCAAAAAATAAGAAAATTAAGACAGAAGCACAACAAATGATTAAGAACAGATGCTACATGGGTCAAAATTCACTAGAAGGCAATATGAAAAAGAATAAGACAAGACATCAGGGATAACGTTACTGAAAACCTCTCAAATATCATAGAGAAAAACAATAGCATGAAAGTGCTAAAAACTAAAGATAGCAAAGACAAACAACAAATACACCAGATAAAAGACAAAAATGGAATCACTGTAAACGACAAAAACCAGATAAGAAATATTGTTAAATATTACTATAATAATAATCGTCCAGCGTAGCAAAACATGAACACGACTATATGGAATGAAGAATACTAAATGTAGGATCTGAAACAATACCAGAGATTATTAAAGAGGTAACTTTAAGAGGAACTTAAAAATGCCTTAAAACATAAAAAATTAAAAAGCTCCTGGAGACGACGAAATAACAAGAGAAATTATTGCAGGTACTTTAATTTACCCAAGAAAGGAGACAAACACAAACTCGAAAAATTGCAGAACAACAAGCCTATTACCACATTTATACAAACGAATTATCAAAATAATTTTATCAGACTACCAAATAAGTTCATGATTTTGCAAAGGTTATAGTACCATAGAACACCTCCAGATATTAGAAACAATTATCGAAAAGTGTGAATAATATAATAAACCCCTTTATTTGTCATTGTTGGCAACAACACAATGATTGATTCATTATATGTATAGAATACTTTTCAAATGCATATACGATAATGTAACTATGTAAAGAAACGTAGCAGAAGATTTAACAACAAGCAGAATAAAAATGAAAAGAGGAGTTAGATAGGGAGACACTATCTCCTCAAAATTATTTACTCTTGCATTAGAAAATGTATTAAGAAAGTTAAATTGGAAATAATGCGGAATTAAGATCGATGGCAGATTTGTAAGTCATCTGAGATTTGCCCGTGATATGGTACTGATAAGTAACAATACAGAGGATCTACTCCACATTCTAAAGAAACTAAACCAAGAACCTGCAAAAATTGATTTAAAATTTAATTTAAATAAAACAAAAGTTATTTCAGACCAAAATATCACAATAGACTTAAATGGAACTAAGATCGAAAATGTCGAATAGAATATACACCTAGGTCATACGATCAAACTAAGCAAACATAATCAAACGGCAGAGATAACTGGAAGAATCCAAATGACTTAAGTAGCAGTAGGAACACTCAGTTTGGTGTTGAAAAACAAAAATATACCAATAAATTTAAATAAAATGGTATTCAACAGTTATATTCTACCAGTTAGGATCTAAGGAATAAAGACCGTAGCACTTACAGAGTTATTATCCAATCTATTAAAAACAACACAGAGCTGTGTTTGGAGTTTCTCTGAGAGAACGTATACAAAATGTGGACGTGCGAAACAGAACGAAGGTAAAAGACGTAATTGGAAGAATACCGCAAATAAAATGGAGCTAGGTAGGACACGTGACATGACAAAACAACGAAAGATGGACCAGAAACATTATACATTGGATACCACGCGAGCATAGTCATAATATAGGAAGACTACAAAAACGGTGGTTAGACGACATCAAAGCTAACGTGAGGAGAAACTGCCACCAAATAACACAGGATAGAGAAGAGTGGAGCACTCATGAGGAGGCCTTTGTCCAGGAGTAGATGCAAACTGGCGTGAAGAAGAAGAAGAAGGTATAAATTACTTACTTAAGGATGTTTAGGTGTAACGTGAACTCATGGAAGCGTGGAATCTAAAACAAGTTCATATAAATAAATTGACCGTCTTTGAACGTTGGTGTTATAAAAGAATCCTACGAATATCATGGATTCAAAGAATGTCAAACGTGGAATTAACCAAAGAATAGGAAATGAAGCGGGAATAATATTAACCATCAAAACAGGAAAACTTGAGTATTTGGGATATGTGATGAAAGGTCAAGAATACTCATTATTACAACTTATTATTCAGGGCAAAATTCGAGGAAAGCGAAATGTGGGAAGTTGCAGAATATTCTAGCTTTCCGAAACTATTTAGAGCAGCGTTCAACAGGATCCGCATAGTAATGATGGATTCTTACTTTCTATAGATCTTGAAGAAGAAAGGTATCGACTAATTACCATTATTTTAATTTTCTTTTTGTTTATATACTAGGTGACAGATAAGTAATCTCTATCATAATAAAAAACAAATTTTTTAGTTCAGAATTCTTTTTTTTTTTTCGACATAGTCTACTTTTAGCTCATTAAAACGATTTCAGTGATTTTTCAACTTCTTAAATCCGTCCAAATAATACAATTCTGGAAGCTCTGCAAAATAGGCGTTTGTTATGTTATGTTATGAGAAAGTAATTCGAAGCCCAACTAATAAATTTTTATCATTGTCATAATACTCTTCTAAGGAGGTGATTTATTTTGGAAAAACTTTTTTTCTGCTTATGCGGCTGTTTCTCACTGAGTTCCTGCTTTCATTTGTCCTATTATACACAATAATATTACCTATTGATAGTTTACCCTTTTTCAAAATAGTTAATTAAAATTATGCCTTTGCAATACCAAAATACAGTGTCCATAATCTCACTGAGCTACTCTTGTCTATTTAGGAGCTCTTTTGCCGGTTTCAATCCATTGATATGCCTTCATTTCATGCTCTGGTGTATAGCAGTGGATCCAGGTTTCATAAACGAATATCGATGCCAAAATTCGACGGATTGCTCTTTAAAAGGTCCAAGCTGATAATTAGTCCCACCATAATGTTTTTGGACAATGTTCAACAAACACGGCACCCATCTGCAGAATAATTCTTTATTGTTCAAAAATTTATTAAAAATATAACTAGTGCGCTCTTTATTAAGTCTTATCGGAGGGCCGTCCAGTATCTGATTCGTCCAATTTAGACATACGGCCACTACGAAATTACCCAAACCCAAATTTAACAGTGCAATCTAAAGGAGTATTAGTTTGATAATATTTATAAAGTTTTTCTATTTTCGCTTTATTTCTCACTTAAAATATTAGTTTTTAATGAGATAGATTCAAAATTGTTTTTCTCCATATGCATCATTTTTCCAAACACATCAATTTTATGTACCTATCAAGAATAAACTAATACTTACATCGTACTAAAATTTGCTATATATGTCTATAAAAGCTTATAGTTGCTAGAAATAATGTATTTTTTAAGATCGCAGGGCTTAATCGGCAAATGAGGGCTTATCCGATCACCAGATATAATGCATAGGTACTGCTATCCACCCAATCATTTATGTTATTCAACATACTGAAAATATCTATTACTTTGACTTTTATATTGTTTTGAAATATATGTTTTATTAAGAAAAAATTTCTAAAAACCTCGCCTGATGATGTCCATGGATAAAGAAGTCGACGGTGTAATTTATAAAAAGTATTTTTAATAACCAGTTCGTGTTCTTCACAGAATTAAATTAGCATTTAGCAATTATTACGAGCTTGTAACCAGAAAGAGTATGCTATTTTTGAGATATCTTCTCAACCAACTTTGGCAATGAAGCATCGACTATAATGACTATTTGATTTGTGAGTTGTAAAATTTCTTCTTCCTCTGGTAGTTTGACTTTTAAAAAAGTAATCTTATACATAACTACTTTGAAAATAGATGGTGATGAAAGGTGAAAATGATAGGAAATATTATAATATTATATTTTTACAGCATCTGTAGCAGCTCTTCCAATGGCCGTAGGATCAGCTTTTGGAGGCATATTTTCCGCAAAACTTGGGCGAAAAATGACTCACTCAATTTCTTGCCTTCCCACCTTTTTGGGTTGGTTGACAATATTTTTAGCGAACCGGATGCACATGATTTTAATCGGAAGATTTATTACTGGATTTACGACAGGAATGCTAGCCACAGTAACCGGAGTTTATATTGGCGAAACATCAGATCCTAAATATAGAGGATTTTTATTGGGTGCAATATCATTTTCTATTGCGCTTGGTAAGTACTTTTCGTAAAACATTAAAAAGCGTATTAATTTAAGTTAATTATTTTACTATTGTGTCATATCAAATTTGCATTACACTTTTTAACTTGAATTGGACATCTTAAAGATAATTTATTAGTTAAAAGACCTGTTGAACTCCCATTCAAAAAGGATAATAGAGGCCTTTGAGATGCATTTTTTTACTTTTCTTTTATGACCATAATAAATTTTTTCCTTAGATGATAATGCCTTTACTAAAGGCACGATAAGTACATAAAACATCAGAGCACATTTTATGTCAGTGTGACAGTCTGGCAAATGTGCGGTTTTTTGCATTAGGAGAAGAAGATCCATTTCCAAATAGCTACATGGAAGGTACAGTCTCGAAGCTACTAGACTTTATAAAGAGGGTCAGGCTAGATAATGTTATCTAGGACTAGAGGACCACAATAGATATGAAAAGGTCGCAGTGAAATAGGCCGAAAGGCCACCTCTCTTAATCTAGTCTAATCTAATCTTAAGGCACGATATGCGATTCTTTTTTAAAATAATATAAAGCACACACACAAACCCAAGTTGCTTTAAAAACATAAAAAATCTACGGGTGACCTATAAAGCAAACAAGAGTGTACTTTTTTGGTAATGCAGGCTAAATATATTTTACAGTAGCATATTATTTTGTTATTGTAGAGTACATATTATGTTTTAATTGTACAGTCATTTTTTATACTGTATTGCTTATATTATTCTTTAATAAATCTATGTGGTGTACAATACAGTGTAAATTCATTTATATTCGTTTTGATAATTTTTTTAAATCTATATAGGTTATTTAGGACAGTATTATTAATATAACAGTACCGAATTTTGTCTCTCTCATTATAACGATCTCTTCTTATAACGATGAAAATTCCTGGTCTCTTGCATATCGTTATAGAAAGAGAGAGGACTGTACGTATGAAACTATCTCAGACTTTTTCGTCCCAGACTTTTTTCTCAGAAGATTTGTCTCGAGGAATTGTAACAATTGTTGTGCTGGCAGAAATATTATCTCTATTTTGACATAATCAGTGAGCGTTTGTCAGCTAAGTTTTTTTTTTTAATATATAAGTGGCTGATACGGATTTTTATGGTATCTAAGCAAACTAAAACAACTATAGGTCGATATGTCCCTTATACTGTAATCCTTTCTTAGTTTCATAGGCATGTTTCTTTGTAAACTACAAGACTGGTCACAGAAACATAACATTATTTTTAAGACCTAACAAACATTCTTAAAGGATTTTTAGTCAAAACTTTTCTTTTCACATCATTTAGATGTACTCACATCAGCAACCATTTAAACACTTGCATACTTTTATATTAACAGACATTCCCATATTCCATAACCAAACACTACAGTTTTACAAATTCGGAAAATAATATTTAATTTTTAATCTACCTCGAAGTACTTTACGCCGATTTGATTTAATATTTTTATTTCTATTACTTAGTAATTGAGCATTGTTTTATTTTTAATATATCTATTGGTTTTTCAGGTCTCTTCCTAGCACATCTAATAGGCACATTTTTGTCTTGGCAAAACACAGCATTAATGTGTTCACTGCTGCCTCTGCTGAGTCAAATTGTAATGTTCTTCACTCCAGAATCACCATCTTGGCTGGCTGGCAAAAGTAAATGCGAAGAAGCAAAACGTGTTTTCTTCTGGTGCAGAGGAACTACTGATGAGACCAAAAGGGAACTGGAAGTGATTATTGATCGCCATGCACCAGTTCATAAAAAAAAGAAGTCTTTTAGTGAGATTTTAAATGAGTTTTTATTACCAGAGTTTTTAAAACCTTTAGGGATTATTACTGTTTATATAATAGCTAACCAGTGGGTTGGAATCAACGCCATAACTTTTTATTCCGTAAATATAATGAAGGATATAGTAGGTGGTGGTATAAATGAATATCTTGCAACTCTTATCGTAGATATAATGAGACTAGTGATGTCAACAGTTGCATGTGTTTTACTAAGAACCGTAGAAAGACGACCACTTGCATTAATTAGTGGAATTGGTACCTTCATCACTCTTGTAACACTCACATTGTACACTTATTTTGTTAGAATATATCCTCAAATATCTTCAGGGTACATTCCTTTCCTTTGCTTAGTCTTATACATAGTTTTCGTTACAATTGGTTTTGTTCCTTTGCCATGGGCAATGATGGCTGAGCTCTATCCTCTAAGACATAGAAGTATAGGTAGTGGTTTCTCCTCAATCATGGCCTTTCTTGCGTTCTTTTCTGTAGTTAAGAGCGCTCCAAGTATGTTTGAGATGTACGGTTCTCACGGTACATTCTTTATTTTTAGTCTAGTGGCTTTTTTTGGAACTACATTTGTTTATTTCTATCTACCAGAAACTAAGGGAAGACCGTTACATGAGATTGAAGATTCTTTTAAAAATAAGAAATAACAGACTAATTGATTAATCTTTTTGTAATCTGTGATTTTGGAGCAAATTCCATTAGGTATTTAAGTTTTACTACAGTATTTTAAGTTTAGTAATAGAAATAAAATAATATATATAATATTTGGTTTTTTATTTTGACGAATACAATTTGAAATAGTGATACACCAGTAAGTCAACAAATAAAATTCTTCAACACTTAATAACAACAACACATAACGGCTCAACAATTCATATGTTCTTAATTCTAAATTGTTTACGTAACAAACGCGTTATTTTTAACTTGATTAGTATTATAATGTTTATTTTATATTTACAGTCTTGTAACAATAAAAACACAATTAATTTCATATATATATATATATATATATATATATATATATATATATATATATATATATATAATATATAAAATAAAGTTTTATTTTGAGGATGCAGTCATTTAAGTAGGGCAGGATAAGTTAAACTCTTTGTTCTTAAATCAAGCTTTCGCAAAATTTATTTGCTTCATCAGGATATGCTAAAATATGTTATGGTAAATACAATGAAATTAGAATTAAAAAACATTGTATAAAACTAATATAAAAACTTACAACATGAGGTTAAACCATTAAATTATTAAATTCACAAAACATTCTTATCTAAATTATATTTTTATGTAAGTACAATATTTTAATTTTGAATATTTTATGACATTGATTATTATAATGATGTTTGATTTATGTCAGAAAGACACTCGTGTCTGTTTTTGTTATTGATAACTGGCTCTAGATTTTTATTATGCTTACGTAAAAAGTGACGCCAAATATGAATATTTAAATTTTTTTAAAATATAGTATTTATAGTCAGAAAATCATATATTAGAAAATTAAAGTATTAATTTTCGTAAGATAGAATGTAATTATAGATATTGCTTAGTTTGTTAATATCAGTTTTTTTATTAACACATTGATATTTATTTATGCATACCATTTCTAAAAATTCTCTTTTATTTAATTGGTTTTCAAGTCTTAATATATTAGTTTCATTAAAATTAAATGAATGATTATTATTAATTGCATGATCTATTAATGCACACGTATTTTTGTTATTTCTAAGGTCACTTTTATGTGATGTTAGTCTACCTATTAGATTTCTAGATGTATGTCCGATGTATGACTTATCACAATTTTGGCATGGTATTCTATAAACTACATTTGAGCTTTCCATAATGCTAATAGGTGATTTAGTTTTTGTATATAATGATGCTAATGTCTTAACATTTTTAGTTGCAATTTTAATATGAGAATAGTTAGCAAAGACTTTAGTTAATTTGGGTGTTAATGTTGGTATGTAAGGTAGTGATGTGAAAGTAAATTGAGATTGCATGATTTGTTGATTTGGTTTTATTGTTTGATTCATGTCAATCATTATATTATTAGGATTGTTCAATAAAAATTTGTTAATTAGTTTAATTGGGTATGAATTATCTAATAAAATGTCTTTCAGTTCTATTAACCCTTTGTTGATGTTATTGGTGTGTGATAATTTGACTATTCTGTTTTTTAAAGCCAATGTTTTGTGAATTTAATAATTTAATGGTTTAACCTCATGTTGTAAGTTTTTATATTAGTTTTATACAATGTTTTTTAATTTTAAGTTCATTGTATTTACCTTAACATATTTTAGCATATCCTGATGAAGCAAATAAATTTTGCGAAAGCTTGATTTAAGAACAAAGAGTTTAACTTATCCTGCCCTACTTAAATGACTGCATCCTCAAAATAAAATTTTATTTTACATAACGTGTCAGTCAATAATACCTAACTACTTTATATATATATATATATATATATATATATATATATATATATATATATATATATATCTAGTGTCATTGCCCAACTGGTTCTGGAAGACTTAGAAGAATCTGTAATGAGTCATTTAGATTTTAATGTACCATTCTTCTACCGCTATATCGATGACTGTGTCTGTGCTATTCCAACAAATAAAACTACCGAAATCTTAGATATTTTCAACAGTTACCATCCAAAATTAAAGTTCACTATAGAAATTGAACAAAATAATAAAATAAACTTTCTGGATATCACCTTACATCGCATTAACAATACAGTTAAAATCATGTGGTTTACAAAAGAAACATGGTCTTCACGATATCTTAACTACAATTCCCATCATCCATTTTCCCATAAGAAGTCTGTAATTATAAGTCTCGCTGATAAATCTATAAGACTAACAGATCCAGAATACAGACCAACTGCAATAAAAAAAGCAAAAAATGCCCTTCTAAAAAATGCATATCCCGAACATCTAATCGAAACTATTTTCAAATCAAGACTCAATAAATTTTATAACAATGCAACTAACAACAAACCTAACAGTATCAAAACCACTTATACAACTCTTCCATATATAAAAGGTTTATCCGAACAACTAACAAATCTTTTAGCCAAACATAATATAACAGTGGCCCACAAAGGCAACAACCTCTTAAATAAATACTTCACAAAACTAAAAACACAAACTCCAAAACTTAAAAAATCACATGTTGTTTACGAGATACCATGTACAAACTGTGAAGGTGTCTATATCGGTCAAACCAGTCAACTGCTTCAATCCAGAATTCGTTCTCACAAATACGACACGAACAACGTCACTGCGCTCACAAAACATGAAAGGGGGAAGAAGCATAAATTTGACTTTGAAAACATCAAAATTTTAAAAACAGAAAAACAAAAAGAAGAGGGAGATATACGAATCAATAGAAATAAAAATAAACACCAACGCAATAAATGACAAAAAAGATACACAAAACCTAAATAAAATATATTTCAATCTGATTTAAACAATAATAATAAAACATCATAAAAAGCTCTTAAAGTCATAACATATCTCCACCTTACCTTTTTCAAAAACATCAACGATACGCCCATATAAAAATAATTATATACTAATGACAGTAAACAATGAGATATCAGATATCAACTTTTATATGTCAGTTCGTTAATGTCTGTGTCACGTTTTACGTTTTGGTAAGTCATATATATATATATATATATATATATATATATATATATATATATATATATATATATATATATATACATATTTTACAATATCTGTTTGTCCTTATATATACACATTTTAGAATCTTGACAAAGGCAAGTGTTTCCTGCCGAAACGTTGATTGATTGCAATGGAAAATAAAATCTAGTTCCACATGTAATATCTTTATTGAACCTAAACCCAAGAAACATTAGTTATATATATATATATATATATATATATATATATATATATATATATATATATATTGTAGTTGTGAGTTTCTTGAACCGTATTATATTTAATATTAAATTAGTGTTTCTTAGGTTTAGGTTCAATAAAGATATATTATATGTGGAACTAGATTTTATTTTTCATAACAATTAACGTTTCGGCAGGAAACCCTTGCCTTTGTCAAGATTCTAAAATGTATATGTATAAGGACAAACAGATGTTGTACTTAAATCTTATATATATATATATATATATATATATATATATATATATATATATATATATATATATATATATATAACTTACCAAATAGTAAAACGTGACACAGACATTAACGAACTGACAAATAAAAGTTGATAGCTGATATCTTATGGTTTACTGTCATTAGTATAAATTATTTTATATGGGCGTATCATTGATGTTTTCGAAAAAGGTAAAGTGAAGTGAAGTGAAAATCAGATTGAAATATATTTTATTTACCTTTTTCGAAAACATTAATGATACGCCCATATAAAATAATTATATACTAATGACAGTAAACCATGAGATATCAGATATCAAGTAAAGTGGATATATGTTATGACCTTAAGAGCTTTTTATGATGTTATATTATTATTTAAATCAGATTGAAATATATTTTATTTACCTTTTTCGAAAACATCAATGATACGCCCATATAAAATAATTATATACTAATGACAGTAAACCATGAGATATCAGATATCAACTTTTATTTATCAGTTCGTTAATGTCTATGTTACGTTTTACGTTTTGGTAAGTCATATTTACAATATCTGTTTGTCCTTATACATATACATTTTAGAATCTTGACAAAAGCAAGGATTTCTTGCCGAAACGTTGATTGTTATGGAAAATAAAATCTAGTTTCACATATAATATATCTTTATTGAATCTAAACCCAAGAAACACTAATTTTATATTATATATATATATATATATATATATATATATATATATATATATATATATATATATATATATATATATATATATATATAATCTACAGTATCCCATGTACAAATTGTAACAAATAATATATTGGACAAAGTTCCAGATCCATAAAAGATCGGATTACCTCTCACAAAAGTGATTACAGATTGTACCCAGGAAGATGCACTCTTGCCACACATGTACATGATAATAATCACACTATGGATTATAGTTCCTTTAACGCTTCCGCTCCAGGTTATTTTTAAGGTAGGGAGCTCTATACCAGCAAAAGTTTTTTAATGAAAATACATTTTACGATAGTTATGATGTGTAATAGAACAGATATCTAATATTCTCATTCCCTATGGGGGCCAAAAATGTTTAAAACAATTTGAATTTATATGACAATTTATAGTATTTACCGGAATATCCACATAAGGATATTTGGGTGTAACAGTATATACACCATTGGATGTCAATTGTTCTACTAAAATATCCACATCTGGATATCATTACAATGTATATATTTATTTAATTTATATAGTCACGCCAAATATTAAAATATAACATATATAAAAAGACAGTGAATAATTTAATGATTAAGTTAATTTTATTATTTAACTAATATTTAGAACAGAGCAAAAAATAAAAGAAGATTATTTTTATTGCTTAGGAAAACTTTCAAAATGTTCCGCTGAGCAAAGTCCAGGTTTGTCCGGGCAAGTAATACAACATTTTCTTTTACGCACTCCACGTCTTTTAAAAACCACACAAATTTTCCCTCTTTTATCGTATTTCTTTTGGAAAATCGGCCATTGCATGCAACGGTTTCCCAGATGAAGTAGGTAGGTTGATTTTTTTTATCATTCATTTCCTGATA